GACATTATAACAGAGATAAATATACAAACAATATTTTATTTAAACATAAATTGAGTAAATTTGTACTTAGTAATGCTGAGTAACAAAAGCATTACAGTCATAAAGCAATAGGTAATTTGTATAAAGCACTGCAGTACCTGTGTACATTCTTAGAATGGACATAGTAAATGAATCTACTGTATATTCACATTTAATAACTATGATTACTTCTCTAATATGTCATATTAAAAATATATAATTAAAATAAAGCATACACTACAAAAATATTTCAATATTTTAAAAAGATGTGTGATTTCCGATTGGTCCATAAGAAGTCTATCATTAAAACAATATATTTAGAGTGAGTTTATTTTGTTAACGTAGATGTAGTATATCCATAGGGAAAGAACAATATGCAAAAAGAAAAAAAAGGATGCAAGAATAAGCAACACAAAAATAAACAATACAAAACAGACAAAAAACAAGTAATTTTGGAGATAGCAGTCCACATAAGTGCCAAGCTTTTAAAAAGATAGCACTAGGACGATGAATGCATGTACTGTTGTGGCGTAATATGCCTTTGCGAATTCACTGACCTGTCAGTCATGATTTTAAGAGAAACCCTCAACATAGAATATAGGATCGGGCCTGTTTTTGAAGGTGCACGGTAGAGGGCATTATCCTTCCTTCCTTATGAAGAAGTAGTTACATTTTGGGCCGATTCACACCATGGAGTGTCGTTAACTTTTTTTTGACACCTGATGCAGATTGCAAATGTAGTGCATTTTGCAAGCAGTTTGAATCACACAGGAATGCATAGCGCGATCTTGTGCGATTCAGAGGTGGGCATGGCATGAACTGGGCTTTCAGGTGTCACAACACCTGATATACTCACTCTTGTTTGTTGGTCAGTGACTTACCAAATACTGAAGAGAGACACCTGGAATGCATCTTTAAAATCGGGTCAGAAGATTTATAACTTCAAGGGTTCATTTTAAATATTTAAACATTTTAGGATAAAAGTCATTACACACAGAGAGACCTTAGAATCTTCCATCTTGGCACACAAAACTTACAAAACAAATATAAGAAACACACAAGCAATTCATTTGCATAGCATATAAAAATAAGGTTTTAATTTTCTTCTATATTTTGACTGCATCATGGACTAAAGTGTGCAATGGTTTGGAAACAATAGGTTAATTAGAAATGTATATAAAAATACTGTCAATTCCCCCGCCCCCAAAAATATCATGTTTTAAGAGCAACACTTGAAATAAGAATACTGGGGAAGTAAAAAAAAAATCATAACTCAATTTCTTGTAATTAGTTAAATAACTTTATGGTTAGCAATTCAAAGGCACTTCTTAACATTTTTTACGTGGAGGTAAGGTACCACACCAAGGTACAATCTCCACTAATGAGGACTACTAACTTCATTACATGAATTAGAAAACCTGCTTACATGAAAATATTTCTGATTCATGGCTTGAATCTGTCAATGCTAATATGCAATTTCAGTAATTAGTATTTATTGCACATAGTTATGTTTATCCAGCCGTATGATAAATTATACTGCAACAGGTAATTTATCTCTATTGTAGACCACCAACCTTCAATGACAACTAGCCAGAGTTAGATAAATGCTGTGGTAGAAAACAGGGGCGGACAGACCTTTTGGAAACTCGAGCACTGCCCGAGGGCCTGGGATCAGTAGGGGGCCCTATGAGATGCCCCTGGTATCTTTTTCATAGGCTTTTTTTGAGTTTGGGCAAGGACACAGGGGCCCCATGATCCCCTATTGCCTGGGGGCCCCATGAGTTGTCAGTCTGCCCCTGGTAGAAAACAAGAAACAAGATGCCTACAGGTGTGTGTTTTGTGATCATTGATATTATTCATACTTTGCAGTCAGACATCCCAAGTACTGCGTGATCCTATCACTGCTCTATTTCAGGCTGAATATCCTACTATTTTTAAAAAAGCACCCAGCACTAGAAGTCAACTAGAATTGGGCTGGACAATGCAGGAGTTAAAAAAAAAAGGTTCCACGACTTCACAATGTCTGTGATATATTATTATCTTTTGATAAGTTTCAAGCCCTTTTAAGCTAGGGTGCAAAAACAGATATATTGGAATATAGAAATATGGGAAACAGGTCTGTAATTTGCAATACAACCTATTGTAAGGAATGTCTACTAACGGTGCCATGTGTGAATCATTATAGGAAACCTGTATTGAGGAGGTATGCAGGTCGCAAATGCTAACTTTTTCTTCTGAATGTACTAGTTGGCTTTCACACTCATCCAACAGCTTCAACACTTTCCAAGGCAGGCCACAGACAATGCGATTTTCTTTTCTGTAACCACAGGTTGCAGGAAGGAAAATCACTCGATTCCCTCATCAACACAGTCAGTGTTGATAGGGGAATCCCTCCCATGGAGCTATTTACTGTGTACTTCCAGCAGGGGGGAGCAGTTTCTGCCAGGAGAACACAGTGATTAGTGGTAATGGCTATAGCCACCAGCAATAATTGCATGGAAACTCTGACAGACTGGTTGTATCCAAGTCGTACAACAATCAAATTGGGTACAATCAGCCTGCCCATAGACAGTTCAAATTTAGGCAGGTCCTTGCTGAAGCAGCCAAGATTCGAACCATCTATGGTTGGATTAAGTCACTGACATAGAACAAGTTATAAAGATTTGGGGCTCTTATAGCAATGCCAGCATCCATATTTCTGTCTGATTTACTTTAGAAATATTTGAAGTTTATGCAAGAATATGAACATTTCATTGTAATTTACCTTTCACAGGCTTACTAACTCTTATTTATCATTTTATTTACATTTACTTAGGAGTTTACTTAAAATCCAGCAATACTTCCATAAGAAAATGCTCTGCACAATAATTAAGCACATTAGTGTACTTTAGAAGCATGCACTGCGCTCCTCTGGCTTGAAGAGTCTGAAGCTGGCAGAGTGCATTAAAAGTAAATAGCAATTTAAAAAAACAAAAACCTGTAAGCCGGGCTACATGACTTATCCACTACAAACATGTAACATGTATAACTTCATAGGTTACAGCAGGCTGCATATTGTTGCCTGCTTTTTGTGAATAGGTAAGCTATGGTATGCAGTAGTACTGCGAAATATAATAAAGCAGATAGGGATTTATGCTCTCCATAATAAATAGGTACATTAGGTTGTCTAAGGGATGACTGTCAGCGATAAGAGTCAGAAATGTGAAGCTCTACGGTCTGCAAGTTACTGCACATCGTCTTCCAGCTCCCAAGAATCCCTACCATCATCAAAACACAGATTTCTGTAGCTACCGCATATCTTTTAACTGTAGGGATTGGTTATGTTATACTTTTATGCTTGCTTGTATACATTTACACAAGACACTGGGTATTACCATGAGGTCAGGCAGTTGGCAGAGCAGCAACTGTGATATCTCACTTCTAACTCAGGAGGCCTACAGTCATCATCTCATAATGTAGGTTATGCTAAATAAGGTGGCAAATATGTCGTTTATGCTACTGATTGAGTGACTGATTTTATTCATTAATCAGTTATATTGGCTATCTCTGAGAGTTGAAAAGGCACATGGTAAACCACAACGTATTTGCACTGAAGACATATTGTACAAACAAAAATAAAGACAATTCTTAGAGTTGGCACATTACAGCAGCTATGGGTTGATTCTATGTTTACCTTTATCAATATAGAAGCCAGAATACAATTAATATCCCATCTCTGTAAAGTTATTTACAGTTGTGTGCCCGTGTGAGTTCCGTCCATTGCAGGGTGTAAAGGTGTTTACATAGCTCCGCTAGTAATGTGCATTTTCACTATGACGAACATATTGTACCTGACCTTTTAGAATCCATAAATAATTGAAAAGTACGGACATATCTTAATATTTCTATACATGTGCTAAACAGGTGTTAAAGAACCTTACGTGTTATTTGAATGAAATCTGCTCATAACAGACCACAACTGGAAGACAGCATACACAAACATTAACATTTAGCCAATGCACAGTTACCATTGATAAACAATACAAAATGAAATGATGAAGTAACCCATTTATCTTTATAGGCAATGACTTGCCTATAAAATGTCACTTACAAATGTGCCTTCAGCAGCTTACAGTAAACCTATAACTTCCAAATTATCAGTAATCCAAACTAAGCATATGATAAAAACAAAAAATCATAAAATACCACATCAAAACAATCAGAGGATTCAAAGAAATAGACAGTGGGGTTCTATACACGTTTCCTGTGACTGTTGAGTCCGGCCCTTCTTCTACCACCCTGTTTGATCATGAAGTATGATTAGTTTGACCAAATGGCGGTTTGAAGAAGACAAGGGCCAAGCTCAACTTTTTCCAGAAAAAAAAAAAAAAAAAAAATCAAGCTTTGTATAGAATAACAGATGCCTATATCTGTGAAATGTACTCATCTTTTTGATATGCAGTTTTCAAAGGATAAGTGCTGCTTATGGATTTTTTCATAACACGCTCAGCTTGAATTGCCCAGTTTTGGGGCAGATTTTTGTTACGTTTTTCAACCAATCTACCACTGTACATTCTCAATTCTGTCAAAAACACTTGCACATTCATTTTCATTAACATTCCTTTAACTCCAACAGTTTTAAATTCTATTAGTTATTAAGGACAAATACAGAGCAAATATCGGACATAAAATTAGTACGCTAAAAGTGTATGCGCCCCACTATCTGTACATACTGGATACAATTAAAATTAATAAGGCATGATACACTTTCCTTACATGTACAAAACATAAAGGTGAGAAGAATGGCTTTAATCTGTTAACTTCTTGTGTTCTGCAGAGATATAATATTTTCTTAACATTTTGCAAATTTCAAATCACTTCAAGATATGAATTGTATTCAACTCCCTCCCTTCTTGTAGGAATGCAATGGAAATGTGATTGTGTCATTATTATGAAAACCAAATTAAAAACGTAACCAACTTTTTTGTTTCCCCAAAGCACAACTACATTTTCTTCAGGGAACCAATCATGACTTTCGACACAAAATTCACTATAGCACTAGCCGGCTGTTCTGGATCATGTTCTGCAAAGAGGTGGCAGATGTTCTCATTTCCATTGCCTTTTCTGGCTACAAAGCCAAAGACTCTGCAGGGAAAAATAAAAAAAATTTATATTATACTACATAATGCTTATTGTGCAATATAAGTCTTTAATTCATTGTCTTTATTTATCATGGTGAGGAATAAAAAAAAATATACCTTTTTTTTAGTGAGGTACAGTGGGGCAAAAAAGTATTTAGTCAGCCACCAATTGTGCAAGTTCTCCCACTTAAAAAGATGAGAGAGGCCTGTAATTGGCATCATAGGTAGACCTCAACTATGAGAGACAAAATGAGAAAAAAAAATCCAATCACATTGGCTGATTTGGAAAGAATTTATTTGCAAATTATGGTGGAAAATAAGTATTTGGTCAATATCAAAAGTTCATCTCAATACTTTGTTATATATCCTTTGTTGGCAATGACAGAGGTCAAACGTTTCCTGTAAGTCTTCACAAGGTTGGCACACACTGTTGCTGGTATGTTGGCCCATCCTCCATGCAGATCTCCTCTAGAGCAGTGATGTTTTGGGGCTGTCGCAAAACGGACTTTCAACTCCCTCCAAAGGTTTTCTATGGGGTTGAGATCTGGAGACTGGCTAGGCCACTCCAGGACCTTGAAATGCTTCTTACGAAGCCATTCCTTCGTTGCCCTGGGCGGTATGTTTGGGATCATTGTCATGTTGGAAGACCCAGCCACGTTTCATCTTCAAAGCCCTTGCTGATGGAAGGAGGTTTGCACTCAAATCTCACGATACATGGCCCCATTCATTCTGTCCTGTACATGGATCAGTCGTCCTCGTCCCTTTGCGGAGAAACAGCCCCAAAGCATGATGTTGCCACCCCCATGCTTCACAGTAGGTATGGTGTTCTTTGGATGCAACTCAGCATTCTCTCTCCTCCAAACACGACGAGTTGTGTTTCTTCCAAACAGTTCTATTTGGGTTTCATCTGACCATATGACATTCTCCCAATCCTCTTCTGGATCATCCAAATGCTCTCTAGCGAACTTCAGACGGGCCCGGACATGTACTGGCTTAAGCAGGGGGACATGTCTGGTACTGCAGGATCTGAGTCCCTGGCGGCGTAGTGTGTTACTGATGGTAGCCTTTGTTACGTTGGTCCCAGCTATCTGCAGGTCATTCACTAGGTCCCCCCGTGTGGTCCTGGGATTTTTGCTCACCGTTCTTGTGATCATTTTGACCCCACGGGGTGAGATCTTGCGTGGAGCCCCAGATCGAGGGAGATTATCAGTGGTCTTGTATGTCTTCCATTTTCTAATTATTGCTCCCACAGTTGATTTGTTCACACCAAGCTGCTTGCCTATTGCAGATTCAGTCTTCCCAGCCTGGTGCAGGTCTACAATTTTGTTTCTGGTGTCCTACGACAGCTCTTTGGTCTTCACCATAGTGGAGTTTGGAGTGTGACTGTTTGAACTTGTTATCAGTATAAAAGACACATGTCCACAACCTCAAACAGGTGCCATTGATACAGGTAATGAGTGCAGGACAGAGGAGCCTCTTAAACAAGAAGGTACAGGTCTGTGAGAGCCAGAAAATCTTGCTTGTTTGTAGGTGACCAAAAACTTATTTTCCACCATAATTTGCAAATAAATTCTTTCCAAATCAGCCAATGTGATTGTCTGGATTTTTTTCTCATTTTGTCTCTCATAGTTGAGGTCTACCTATGATGCCAATTACAGGCCTCTCTCATCTTTTTAAGTGGGAGAACTTGCACAATTGGTGGCTGACTAAATACTTTTTTGCCCCACTGTACATAGAAATAATAGGGGTTTATTTACTAAAATTGGAGAGTGCAAAATCTGGTGCAGCTCTGTAAAGAAACCAATCAGATTCCAGGTTTTATTGTCAAAGCTTAATTGGACAAGCTGAAGTTAAAAGCTGATTGGGTACCATGTACAGCTACTCCAGATTCTGAGTAACCCCCCCCCCCCCACATGTTTTCAGTTGTAGCCAGCAAATGAAGCTCTAGGCTCCTTTTCTCATGTTTTCCAGGTTATCCTTAACAGCTTTCCTTTTAAAAAGACTGCTGCCGCTCACAGAGCTCAATAGCTGAAACTCTAATGTACATATAGAAATCAATGATCAGAGGAGATTCATCCCCCCCCCCTCTACTTGCCTCCCTGCTGTGTTCTGAAGAGACCCTATTAAGTTGCAATCAGAGGGGGGAGTCGGAAGAAAAATAGCTTGTATTAAATGTTTATTTGTAAAACAAAGCTTTTCTACAGATGGAAAAAAAAAAAAAAAGATATAAACCAGTCAAGGTAGTATTGTCAGGTAACACCAGCATTTTATTGATTTTACCCATTTGAATGATAAGAGTTTTGAGTATGTTTTTAAAGGCAAAGTTCACCTTTTTTATTCTAAATTCCATATCCCCTATGTAGCAATATAGCATTAATGTTCTTCTTTTGCAGAAATAAAAAAGCTTTCCATTTATTCTACACACCCTTACCTGCCATGTCCACATGGCTGTATAAAAAAGCTTATCCATTATTTCTCCCTTAGTTCCTAGACAGACTTTAGGTCATGACCCAGGAAGGAGTTGACCAGCTGACCTCATTAGCACACCCCCCCTGCATCATCTACCCTTCTATCTACCACCCACTTCCAGGTGCACGTTTTTTTTTTTAATGAAATGCAATAAATCGATCAGTAATCACTTGCATAGATCATTCATTTGGCAGAGTGTCCTGAGTGGACAGCCTATGTGGATAGCTGTAGTATTGAAACCAGGAGAAGTGTGTTCTAGGTTCTGTAAAGTTTACCATACACTATACAATTTGATTGTACAATCTCCTTTAGATCTACCATCAACTATGTAGTGCAAGGACCTGCCTGATTGGATAGAGTGATTGGATAGATGGTGTGTCCTCCTAATATATAATAATTTTGGTAAATCTAAAAGAGATCATACAGAGATTGTACATCATACATCAGATTGCATTGTGTATGGCCATCTTTAAACAAGTTCCCTCCTTTGTTCAGTGAGGGATAACTCATGCCAGACATGCTTTACAGCGGTTTAAATGTAAGGTTATGCACTTGGGGGCTAAGAATATGCATGCATCGTACATACTGGGGGAGTACAACTGGGGGAATCAATGGTGGAGAAGGATCTGGGAGCTCTGGTAGATCACAAGCTTAATAATGGCATGCAATGCCAAGCTGCGGTTTCTAAAGCGAGCAAAATCCTCTCTTGTATTAAAAGAGGTATAGACTCCAGAGAGAGAGATATCATATTACCCCGGTACAAATCATTAGTAAGACCTCATCTGGAATATGCAGTTCAGTTTTGGGCACCAATTCACAAAAAGAACATTGGGGAACTGGAGAAAGTACAGAGAAGGGCAACCAAACTGATAAGAGGCATGGAGGAGATCAGCTATGAGGAAAGATTAGAGGAACTGAATTTATCCTCTCTTGAGAAGAGGAGATTAAGGAAGGATATGATGAACATGTATAAATACATCAGTGGGTCATATAGTGAACTCGCTGTAGAGTTATTCACCCTGAGGTCATCACAGAGGACAAGGGGGCACTCTACGTCTGGAGAAAAAGAAAATTAATCTCCAAACACGGAAAGGTTTCTTCACAGTGAGAGCTGTGGAAATGTGGAATAGACTCCCTCAAGAGTTGGTTCTGGCCAGCTCAGTGGATTGTTTTAAAAAAAGTCCTGGATTGTTGCTTAGATACACAGAATATAACTGGATACTAACATTTATAGAATATCCAATTGCCTCTCAGGGGATCAAGAAGGAATTTTTTCCCCTGCAGGAACAAATTGGATCATGCTTTGCTTCGTTTTTTTTTGCCTTCCTCTGGTTCAACGGTGGGTGTAGAATTATAACTTTTTTTTTTTTTTGCTATGGTTGAACTGGATGGACTTTGGTCTTTTTTCAGCCAGACTAACTAAAAAGGAGTGGATGGAGACACTCAACTGTCGAGCCCTGTTCACACCACTGCATTGGGGCATTTTGGAGCATTTTTTCTTGTCATGCATAGGGCTGCCCATTCACTTGAATTGGCTTCCCTACATGCAAAGCAATTAGTCTAATTATTACAGAGTAATTCCATGCAACAAGTGAAACAAATAAATGAACTGTTAGTGCTATTCAGCCAACACTGTCATAACATAAGAAATATCACTCAATTTGCCTTAACCCTTTCTCTCCTGCCAACAACTTTTAGGTACTTAAACTACCAACCACTATAGCAGCCGGGAGTTTGTTTATAACTTTATCCCTGGCTGATGGCTTTTTTTGCAGAAGTGAAGCCACCTGATTACTTCTTTATGTGGAAAAATGTGTCTTTACCCCTGCCTCAGCCCCCCAGTCAACGCGCCCTAGGCTTACCTGTAATAAGACACAGAGCAGTGTAAAATTAACAGGATTTCGAGCAACATCTTTTATATTTTACCAAACAATTTGGTGCTATAACATGTTTGTGTACAATAATTTGAGTTTTTTTAAATAAAATATAGATTTGATAAATAGTAGCACACTTTAGTATATACAGTTGTGTTCAAAATAATAGCAGTGTGTTGAAAAAAGTGTATAAAGCTCAAAACCCTTCTAATAGCTTTTATTTCCATACACACAAATACATTGGGAACACTACACATTCTATTCCAAATCAAAACATGAAGAAAAATATATCAAATTTGTGTTGTTCCTCTAAAAAAAATTGAAGAAAAGTGAATATTAGACTGTTCAAAAAAATAGCGGTGTTTGTATTCTTCTTTACAAACTCAAACATTCACTATATAAACTGAAAAATGTTTGAAGATTTTGCTTTACTTTGAATCACTTCATGAATATTTGGTTGTAGTCGCACTGTTTCTGAGAACTGCTGTACATCTGTGTTGCATGGAGTCACCCAACTTCTGGCCCCTGTGAACAGGTATTCCATTGTTGGTCTGGAACCAAGATGTTGCACATTTACTTGTGTGTTTGGGGTCATTGTCTTGTTGGAACACCCATTTCCAGGGCATTTCCTCTTCAGCATAAGGCAGCATGACCTCTTCAAGTATTCTGATGTATTCAAACTGATCCATGATCCCTGGTATGCGATAAATAGGCCCAACACCGTAGTATGAGAAACATCCCCATATCATGATGCTTGCACCACCATGCTTCACTGTCTTCACAGTGTACTGTGTTTGGGGATCGTCTGACAAACTGTCTCCGGCCACTAGACCCAAAAAGAACAATCTTACTTTCATCAGTCCACAAAATGTTGCGCCATTTCTCTTTAGGCCAGTCAATGTGCTCTTTGACAAATTGTAACCTCTTCAGCACACGTCTTTTTTCAACAGTGGGACTTTGCGGGGGCTTCTTGCAGATAGCTTGGCTTCACATAGGCGTCTTCTAATTGTAACAGTACTCACGGGGAACGTCACACCTTCTTTCATCTTCCTGGAGCTGATTGTTGGCTGAGTCCTTGCCATTTTGGCTATTCTTCTATCCATTCGAATGGTAGTTTTTTGCTTTCTTCCACGTCTTTCAGGTTTTGGTTGCCATTTTAAAGCATTTGCGATCATTTTAGCTGAGCAGCCGATCATTTTCTGCACTTTTTTATATGTTTTCCCCTCTCCAATCAACTTTTTAATGAAGGTACGCTGTTCTTCTGAACAATGTCTGGAACGACCCATTTTCCTCAGAATTTCAGAGAGAAATGCATTGTAACCAGCATGTACAACATTTGCTGCCTTCCTTCCTTAAATAAGGGCAATAATTGCCACCTGTTTTTCAAAGAATGAATGACCTCACTAATAGAACTCCACACTGCTATTATTTTGAACACGCCCCTTTCAATTAGTGATTCAATAACACAGAATCAGCAGCATGCATGTCATGACTGTTGGGTCTGTTGGATTTCTATTACTCTACTACACCTGCTAGGAAATTATTTGCCATGTAGAAATATCATTTCTGCCAAAAACAGTGATTGATCCGGTTAGTTGATGTCTGACTGCTATTATTTTGAACACAACTGTATTACTGAGTCACATAAAAAATAGCAACTAAAAAAGGTATGAGCAGCAAAAATGTTAATCTGAGTTAGTGTAACTGTGGCCAAATTCCCAGAGGTTCACTGGGGGTATACTTTTAAATGTTTGTCCTGTGCGAGATCTAAGTTTGCTAATTGTATTACCAACTATAGTTGATATACATTTATAAGGCATAACCCATTCTAAATGGCAACAGTAAGAAATGGCTTAGTACTGAATTTCTTTCATATCAGAGATTTCATATGTTAGGACAGCAAGGAGCTTATAACAGGTACAGTAGCTTTAGTATTAGCTCTCCCCTGTACACATTCCAAGGTTTATTTTTACATTTTGACTGAAGTGTACCTTTATACTCATCCTGTTTTTTAATTTATAGAATTTTTTTTAGACATTCTATCTGCACAAACTGCATTATCACTAAAACTGTACACATAATTCAATACAATCAATACTTACTTTGCAGAAAGTCCATCTCTCTTCCACCTAAACGGAAAAACAAAAATTAGCTGAAAACTTTGGATGGATATTCAATATTAGCTTCTGAGTGACAGAAATAGTTCTTACTTTCTGTCCTGTGGATCCAGGGCACAGAATATTACAGTATTAACTGGATAATGTCTTCGAAAGAAGAGCCTAGTAGAGAAAGTTGGGGGAAAAAAAATAAACTTTTGTTTTAGGATATATTAATATTTTAGCTGCATAATATTATGTGTATGCTCAGGTGCTCAATGAAACAATTCTATACAACAATGCATGCCAGATATTTCTGCTGCTTGCCTGCATTATTAATTCAGAAACAACAGCACTGAGATTAGAGATAATTTGACAAATTATATTTTAGGTGGCATTGCAATATGCTACCTCTTTCCCAGCTAGGTGAACAGCAAAAATACATTCTAAATGAGTCATGTTTTTATTGAAAGCAGAAACAGCAATGTGCGCAATATCTTTGAGAACCATTTCTTTTATCACATTGCTGTTATCTTCAATTCCAGTGGTGCTTTCACATATCTTTGTGCCTCCATGAAAAAAAAAAAAGACAGGTTGGTCACAGGGGTGGACTGACCATTTGGAAACTCAGGCACTGCCCGAGGGCCCGGGGACAGTAGGGGGCCCCATGAGATGCCCCTGGTACCTTTTTCATAGGCTTTTTTGAGTTTGGGCAAGGACACAGGGGCCCCATGATCTTCTATTGCCCGGGGGCCCCATGAGTTGTCAGTCCGCCCCTGGTTGGTCAGACTTCCTGGGTTACTGTAATACACATTCATAATGACAATTACTTTTAGGATTTAGAACATACCCAATATTCCAAATTTACTCTATTTTTCATAGAATCCTATTGGGAATTATTTGAGACTGACCACTGCACTTCAGTAATAATAGACCAATCAGTAAGTGGTAGGATATACAGGAACTCCAGCGTGCTGAAGGGTTTGTTTAACCCCTTGCCCTCCAGAGGATTTACCCCCCTTCCTGACCAGGCCATTTTTTTGTGATACGATTCTGTGTTACAGTAACGGACAATTGCGTGGTCATGCAACGCTGTACATAAATTAAATTTATGTCCTTTTTTATCCACATATATATGTGATTTTACACAGTCCTGATGCCCTGTAGCAGTAGTTTTACTATAGGGCGGCAGGAAAGAGTTTAACCAGCGATGGGTTCCCGTGGCTTTTCTGCACAAAGTGGTCATACAAATGCTTGTTGCAAAGTTTTAACTAAATGTTGTTAAAGAAAGTGGGATAAAGTAAGGTGGTACCAAAGTTGCTGATGAATTAACAATTACCAGGATGGTTTTCCAATGCTGATCTAGAACAGTCTCTTTCAAGCAGGGTGCCTTCTGGGTTCTTCAGTGATGCCTTGGAAAAATGCTTAAAAATTGCCCCAAATTCCCCAAAAACTGTAAACAAGACAGCAAGTGGATCAAGCCTGACTTTTTGTTACACAAACCACAAGTTTGTATTATTCAGCATTACGACCTTGGGCACTGTGGGGGTCATCCGCTGACATCCTAACAACCAATGATGTAATTGGTTGATAAGGAGGACGTCAGTTGCCTGAATCCTTGTTTGCCTCTCTCCATCAGCACTGGGGTCACTTTAGCTGAGTGAGGGAGAAAAGGAACATTGGAATACATGTTTGGTAGCAGTGTGCAAAGGTGCAATAGCTTTGAAAGAATAAACCACTTCTAATGTTGGGTGTCCTACGTGTGTGGATGTTACTGCATTACATAAAACTATTTGTTTAGTTCTTTACATTTTAGAATGGGGTGCCTCAAGACAGTGTGGAATTTTAGAGGGTGCTTTGACTGAAAAAAGGTTGAGAAACACTGATCTAGAACACCGGTTTGAAACTGCTGCAAATCCACAGTCATCAGTCAGGGCTCAAATCAATATTAATTTATAAAAATCATATAATAAACTTCTAGGAAAACATTTTCTACAAGCAGGTATGCTGAATAGTTCCTAGCTTTTTTTTGTACAAATTCTTTTTACCTAATCCTATATGTTAGAGCAAAAGAAAACATATTCAGTACATCTCTGTAATACATGCAAATTTCCCTGTTTTATTCCTTTTAAATACCCTACAAGTACAAAACAGAAGTACCTGTTGATCTTCCAGAAATGCACTCAGCTATAATGAGCTGACAACACACAATCAGGGGAATTCAATAAAGCACTCATGACACTTTTCTGGCAGTATGACCCTTTAAAATGGCCTGAGGCAGACTGAAAATGCTGCCAGTTTTGTCAGCTTTACCAAAATATTTGGCAAAGTTGGGTAGTTGCTAAAAAGTGGTTGTAAAGTCTATTTTTTAAAATAAAATATTAAACAGGTTCATACATACCTGCTCTGTGCAATGGTATTGCACAGAACGGCCCATAACCTCATCATCTGGAGACCCCCGCTGGCACTATGGGCGCCTCCTCTTTTGTAGCCGCTTGCTATGGTGGCAGACATGCAGGTTCAATCATGGACTGATCTCTGTGTGTCTATTGACACACACAGCACGGCTCTGCCCGGTCCCTCTCTCTCTGCTCACTGCATTTGACTGACAGCAGCAGGAGCCAATGGTTCTCGCTGTTTTCAGCAAAACCTGTGAGACCAGGGAGAGAAGACCTGCAGCCGGGCAGAATGCTGGATCGAAACAGGAGTCTGCAAAGTGTTGGAGGGGCGGGGGTGGAGTGACACAATGGTAGGATTTTTACCTTAATGCAAAGAATGCATTAAAATAATAATAAAAAAAAACTTTAGACTAAATTAAAGAATTAATTCTTTTTCATAGATAACAAAGTTGGAGAAAATTGGGATTAATTCTAACTTGGTGTGCACTTGTCTTGTACACTACTATGTAGCAGAGCAGCATGGTTGCTGCTACTATCCTCTCCCATCACTGGCTGTCAAGGACATTGTTGGCTTCACAGTCTCTTAATCTGTGGCGCTGACAGAGGATGGAGCATAACGCTTAGGCTAAGGGACTAGTTCTCCATCAGGTCCGCTCTTCTCTTCACAGCACGCAGTGGATGGATTTTGTAGCCAATAGCAAGTTGTCTTTTGGCTATGAAACGCACTCAATGCCTGCTGTTAATGACAAGGGGAGCAAATCTCCACCCACTCAGATACAGAACTCACTGCTGCTGCTGCGCTGTCTCTGGGACACGGCTGAATATATACTAGAGATATCTAGAAAGCCCTGTTTGACCTTCCTATACAAGTGGGGGTTAAAGGGTCTGGTAAATAGTTTTGTGTGATCCCTGGTGGTGGTAGAGTCCCTGAGGAACTCTTAATTTTCCATCAAAGGTGGAGGCCTACCATACACTAGCAGAGGAATATTGCAGCCTGTTTCAAATTGTTCAGACTGCAGCCTTTACATGGACTTATAATTTAAACAAATTTTTATTAAATATCATCTACATAACTGTCTTGGAATATAAACTAGATTTACTATAGGAGTTTGTATCCTTCTATATATAGTCTTTTAAAAGTATATTTTTGTGTTGTTTTTTTTTTTTTTTTTTTTTTTATTAATAAGGGATCATGGTGAAAATTCTCTGGTTGCTTAAATGGGGATCCATTCTGGTTTGATGATGGTGGTCCATTCAAGGAGATAAATTTTTTTAGAAGGCTTTTGGGTGTTGTTCAGAAAAGCCATTGTCTTCTCCTATATTGTGTTGTCCAGGGGCGGACTGACCATTTGGAAACTCGGGCACTGCCCGAGGGCCCAGGGTCAGTAGGGGGCCCCGTGAGATGCCCCTGGTACCTTTTTCTTAGGCTTTTTTGAGTTTGGGCAAGGACACAGGGGCCCCATGATCCCTTTTGCCCGGGGGCCCCATGAGTTGTCAGTCCGTCCCTGGTGTTGTCCATTATATTGGTTGCATCCAGGCTTTCATGATTGTTTGTTCAGAAGCCCCCCCCCCCCCCCCCGTTCACGAGTGCAAAGGCAAAAACACACATTGGTCCTGTATGCATTTGTAGACAGGTGATCACCCCACACATGTGAAGTGTTGCTGCAAACGTCAGAGTGAGAGCAATAATTCTAGCACCAAACCTCCTCTGGTAACCTGTACACACTTATAAAGTATTTGGTCTGTGTAAAGGTTGAGTCTACAAGCTATGGTAGCAATCATTGAAAATATATCACAACTGATGTACTGACATCTCATTTCTTGAGGCCCTAACATGCCAGGACAGTACAAATACCTCACAAACTAAAATATCTAACTAATATGTAGGCCCAAAATGTCTGCTTAGATCCTTAGATCAACTTTTTTTTGGCACTTATCAAACAGATAAATATACTATTGAAAACAGTATGTTATAACAGATAACAAGGGAGTAAATGGTTAGAATTTACACTTTAGCATAAAAATGAAGGTATAACATTCTTACTTCCGTTGATTGTCTGTTAGAGTGATTCCTTGAGCAGACACCTTGAAATGCACCACAGTGGACACGGGAGGTGGATCCTGATTTTGGGTTATGCTGAGAGCTTTCTGCACTGCTTGATACCCTGTAAGGGACTCCATTTCCACAGAATTCAGATACCAGACATTACATGCTGCAAGTGATAAATTAGATCAGAAAATTAATAATTAAAATAGAATATGATTGTAGTTTATTGGGCTAGGTTTATGTCCTTGTGATTCAACCTGTTTTGATGTGTGTTTTGCTGTGAGTTGTGTTAGGAAGCCCATTAAAAAAAAAAACATACAGAAATTGTGCCAGAGAAGTGCACGTAAAAAGGATTAGTAAGACCTCATTTGGAATATGCAATTCAATTTTGGGCACCAGTTCACAAAACTGGTTGGAGAACTGGAGAAAATGCAAAGAAGGGCAACCAAACTAATAAGAGGCATGAAGGACCATGGCTATGAGGAAAGATTAGCTGAACTGAATTTATTCTCTCTTGAGAAGAGGTGATATGATCATCATGCATAAATACATAAGTGGTCCATATAGTGAGCTTGGTGTAGAGTTATTCAGTAGTCATTACAAAAAGACAAGGGGCACTTGGAGGTAAAGTAATTTAACCTCCACATACGGGAAGGCGTCTTTACCATAAGAGCTGAGAAAATGTGGAAAAGACTCCCTCAGGAACTAATCCTGGCCAGCTCAGTAGATTGTTTTAAAAGACAGCTAGATGCATTCTTAAATGCACAAAATATAATTAGGTATTAAATGCACAAAATATACCTGAACACTGAACATAAGTAATAAGTAATTGTGGATCAAGGGAATAGTCGATTGCCTTGTGGGGGGATCAGGAAGGAATTTATTTTTCCCCTGCTGCAGAAAACTGGATAATGCTTTATTGTTTTTATTTTTTTTCCCTCTGGTTCAATTGCGGATATAGGATTCTCTGTATGGAAGATTCCAATTTATTTTTATTGGTTGAACTAGATGGAATTGTGTCTTCTCAACCTACATACCTTTTTTTTAAAACAAGAAGCACCACAAAGGATGGTAAGTTAGCATGCGTTGTGGTCCACTGCAATACATGTGCCTTAGCAAGGTGAATTGGGGTGTCATTAAGAATAAATAGCACTGCAGTGTGCCTACAATAAACACTCATGCACAGATGTGAACGCAGCCTAAATGGACAAGCAAGACACCATAACTGCATATTTTTACGTCTTATCATTATAACAAGTGCAATGAAAGTCATAAGCATCATTGTTTTCATTTTGGATAGAGTTGGAAAGGATTGAGGTGTCCGTTTATGAACCAGCAGTAATAGATCGCTGCTCAGTTCTCCGGCATTCTCGGAGAACACAGTTCTCCTGTGAATGCAGTTTATGAAGCAGTTCTCCGAACGAAGGGAGAACGGTCTCCAAACGCTGGAGAACGGTCTACAAACTCTGGAAAACGGCTGATTTTACAATAATCTCGCGAGATTACAGTAAAAGATCAGTTTACTAAGCAGAGGTAAATTATCTCTGCTTAGTTTGCGGTCCCTCTGATTCTCCAGCTCTGGGCTGGAGAATCTGGAGGGAGAACACAGATCTCCAGTGAAGGGCTGACATGATCTCCTGAGTGTCATAAACTGTGAATGACCAGAGAATAGCTGAGATCTGTTGAATCGCAGCTATTCTCTGTGTCATAAACGGACACCTGAAACCCCTGTCTCTTTGCCAGAGAGAGAGAGAAAATCTATACAAAGTGAGGTAAGTCCCTTCTTTAGAACAGATGCCCTGATTGAAAGATTTTCTCCTCTATTCCCATTCTGGTAACAACTCAAAGTGTTGGGTTTTCCATCATGTTTAGTCCCAGAGAATGGTTATCAGGACAAATAAGGAGAGCGAATCTCTTGGAGGGGCATAAACAGCAATATAATGCTGACAAGGTTCTAACCCCCACCACTCCATTCACAATTTTTAAAAAGTTTAGCCTTGAGATAAACTTTAATCTTTGTAAACTTATATACCAGGAAAGGTAAAAATGACAGACAAAAAAAAAAAAAGAAATAGAATAATATACATCAGATCATTTGCATGCATTCTGAAGCTAATTTGGGGCTATCTCCTTTCTTTGCAAATACAAATTGATGTGGTTTCAGAGTCTAAATGAAATATTATAGGACCTCATATAGGACCTCATATAGGACCTTATGGATGAAACATACAATCCCTTGCACATATAACAAAATATATAAGCAGCATTAAATATTTCTATGACCTCATGGACTGTCCACTGCCCTCTAATAAAGTCAAAGGCAAATCTTCTGAAAAAGTTACGCAGTGGTGCATAAAGTTTTTGTGAACTGGAAGGCCTTGAAAAAAGAGGGGGTTGAGCAGCTATATGGCAGATGAGGTTCAATATTGCGTACAGTTATGCACCTGGGTGTCAAAAATACATATAAAAAATACACATTAGGAGAGGCTCCCCTGGGAGAATCAGTGATGGAACAGGATCTGGGATTGCTTGTAGATCACAGACTTAGCAATAGCATTCAATGCCAAGCTGCAGCTAACCAAGCTAGCAAAATACTTTCATGCATTAAAAAGGACATACATTCCAGAGATAAATCATTATCTACCCCCTTACAAAACACTTGTTCAGCCTTATCTTGAATATGCAGTTCAGGGTTATCAGGAAAAAGCTGCTGAATTGGAAAGAATTGCATGACAGATCGTTAATTCCCCAATTAAATATTTGATTTATTTTATGAAACTCTGCAATATTCTTTTGTATTTGACGGATATAGTGCATATGTATTCTTATTCCCTTGTCCAAAATCTGGAAGAAACCAGTTTCCCGCTAGTCACTACTATGCTTAAAGCTAATTCCGAAAAATTCTCTGGAGAAGTTTTCAATCTGGACTAAAGTAAACAGCAATTTCTTGGGCTTGGAATCTCAATCACACCACGGTTAGAGCTGACATCATCTAACTGAGGAAATTTGCAAAAGTAAGCAGTCCACCTGAAGTGGCCATCCTGACAGAATCTCTGTAAGCAAATATTATTATTTCAATAGTAATGTTTTTTTTTTTTACATTTATGTGTCATAGATGTACAGTAGTTAGAATCCACAGTTATAGGACCAACCTGCTCCTTGTTTGAGTAATTCTGCAGCAGAATTGGCAGCAGTCTGAGGAACGGTCTCTGCAATCTCTTCCAAAGGATCTAAAACACGAAATTTACGTATAAAAACTGAACACTGATAAAAATATCCGAACTGTAAATATAGTTAAAACACACACAGTGGACAAAGAGGCACATTTATTATATACAGGTGAGTGGTCATAATGTTACGGCTGAGATATATATATATACATACACACACTATATTGCCAAAAGTATTGGGACAACCTTTTATGTATTTTTTAACTATTTGCTCTGTTAGAATTGACCAAGTTTATGATAAGATTAAACGAAGTACCGTATTTTTCGCTCCATAAGACGCACTTTTTTCCCTCCAAAAAAGGGGGGAAAATGTCAGTGCGTCTTATGGACCGAATGTAAAGCGGCCGGTCCGGTATTTCTGCCGCCACCATGTCAGAATATCGGGCCGGCCGCTGAGCTCTTCCCTCCTGCAGGACCTTACCTGTTCCTCCATCCGGCGCTGCAGTCTTCCCGCGGTGGCTTCTGTGACAGCCGGGTGCCCACTGCGCATGCGCGAGAAGCGCCGCGCTTTGTGAATGGTCCGGTGTCTTCTGGGACACATGACAGGTCCCAGAAGGCTCCGGGCCATTCAAAAAGCGCAGCGCTTCTCGCGCATGCGCAGTGGGCACCCGGCTGTCACAGAAGCCACCGCGGGAAGACTGCAGCGCCGGATGGAGGAACAGGTAAGGTCCTGCAGGAGGGAAGAGCTCAGCGGCCGGCCCGATATTCTGACATGGTGGCGGCAGAAATACCGGACCGGCCGCTTTACATCTCTGGTCATCTCCTGTACTGTGTCTGCAGTCTCTGGTCATCTCCTGTACGTGTCCGCAGTCTCTGGTCATCTCCTGTACTATGTCCGCAGTCTCTGGTCATCCCCTGTACTGTGTCCACAGTCTCTGGTCATCTCCTGTACTATGTCCGCAGTCTCTGGTCATCCCCTGTCCTATGTCCGCAGTCTCTGGTCATCCCCTGTACTGTGTCCGCAGTCTCTGGTCATCTCCTGTCCTATGTCCACAGTCTCTGGTCATCCCCTGTACTGTGTCCGCAGTCTCTGGCCATCCCCTGTACTGTGTCCGCAGTCTCTGGTCATTCCCTTTACTGTGTCCACAGTCTCTGGTCATCTCCTGTACTATGTCAGCAGTCTCTGGTCCTCTCCTGTACTGTGTCCGCAGTCTCTGGTCATCTCCTGTACTATGTCAGCAGTCTCTGGTCCTCTCCTGTACTGTGTCTGCAGTCTCTAGTCATCCCTGTACTATGTCGCAGTCTCTGTCACCCCTGTACTATGTCCGCAGTCTCTGGTCATTTCCAGTACTGTGTCCGCAGTCTCTGGTCATCCCCTGTACTGTGTCTGCAGTCCATTGGTTCAGAATATTTTTTTTCTTGTTTTTCTCCTCTAAAACCTAGGTGCGTCTTATGGAGCGAAAAATACGGTATATGTGAAGTTTACAGTGAACCTTTCTTGGTTTATTTTAATAGCTTGATTTTACATGTAGCTTGCTGTTATTATTTCAATGACTGATATGTTTACATACCTCGCATAGCTCAGAGGTTTCAGCTGCACAGTTTAACTTTGTTCATAAGCGTACTTACAGGTATATCACAGGTTGAAACATGTCATTCAACCATATAGCGTAAATCCTAGACAAGCTTTGTTAATCAGGATGAATAAACGTTACTGACAGCAGTCTCTTTCACTTCGGCTAGATATTATTATTATTCTAGTACATTATAGTTATAGTGCCAAGAGTTTGCACAGCAGTTTACAAAATAAAGTGAGAGTACAATTACAATACCATGCAGGATGAGAGGGTTAGGAAGGCTTTGCTGGTGAGCGCTTACATAGTAAAAATAATGAAAAACAGATCCACAGAACTACCTCCTGGTGCTTCAATATCAAAAACCCTTTCAGCCCCACTCCAGTACACTAAATACATGTATACAATTTAGGATGGGTGTGAAAAAAGGCAGGCAAATAAGTCAAGAAATCAGGGTTACAAACCACTGTCTTACTGAAACTCCTCCATATTTCTGTACACAGTTATGAGTGTAACTTGAAGCAAATACTGACTAAATGCAAGAGGCATCCATAACAGCCCTGGGACTGATGAAATCGATTTGGAACTTTTGCAAAAAGTACTAAAGATGCAAAGGGTTGGGTAAATTAAAGGGTTGGTCTTTGCTACTTCAGGAGTATGGTGAACGTGCAACCAAGGCATAGAAGCAAGAGGCGTGCGTAAGAAAGAAGCCTCGAGAGAGACCCAGTCTTTAACAGTGTCATGAGTGTTGCAATCTACTATCCAGGGAGAGATGGCACGCATGGAGATAATTCTGGATGTCGGGTAGGCCTATTCCCCCTTTGTGTCTCGAAGAAGCACCAGTCTAGCGTAACTAATTCGTGGTCTGTGATTGTTCCACAGGAAATTGGAGCAGAGGCTCCTGTAAGAGATAAGAAATTGCGAGGTAGGTGGATGGGTATAGTTTGTAATAGGTAGAGGAATCGCGGGAGAGCATTCATTTTGAGAATAGCAGCTCTGCCAAACCAGGAAAGGATAGGTTTGTTCATCGTTTGAAATCATTAACTCTCGCAGGATGGGTAGATAATTCTTACTGTAGAGGTCTCGTAGGTTCTTAGGGAGCTGAATGCCTAAATAAGTCCTGTTTCCATAAAAATGGAAAGTTTCTCTGACAGCGGATTACATCTGTAGAAGAGAGGGTCGTTGAGGGCATAAGACTTCGAAAAGTTGATTTTGAGGTTGGACAAGGATTGAAAGTGACAAAATTCTGCTAGGAGGACTGGAAGAGTAGTGTGGGGGGCTGCTAAAAAAGCAGAATGTCGGCAAATGCAGCTAATTTATACTCCTTACCAGCAGAGCTAAGACCTTTGATATCAAGGTTGTGTCTGAGACAGAGAAAAGGTTCCAGCATCAGGATAAAAAGGATAGGGGAGAGTGGGCATCCCTGTCTGGGTACCATTACACATTTCTTTTGAATTTGTTGTTGCTATTCTGTCTCTCAGTGTTACAATACACCTACCATTCGATTTTAAACTGATAATTTTTTTTTGTGAGGTGGGCAAACATCCAAAATCAGCAGGGGATCAAATACTTATTTCCTTCACTGTGTCTATATTATATATATATTATATATATTTATATATTTATACACACATATATATATATATATATACATATATACAGTCATGGCCGAAATTGTTGGCACCCTTGATATTTTTCCTGAAAATCAAGTATTTCACACAAAAAAGGTTATTGCATTAACACATGTTTTGCTATACTCATGTTTATTCCCTTTGTATGTATTGGAACAAATATAAAACAGAGGCAGAAAAGCAAATATGACATAATGTCACACAAAACCCCAAAAATGGGCTGGACAAAAGTATTGGCACCCTTAACTTAATATTTGGTTGCACACCTTTGGAAAACATAACTGAAATCAGTCGCTTCCTATAACCATCAATAAGCTTCTGACACCTCTCACCACCCGGAATTTTGGACCACTCTTCCTTTGCAAACAGCTCCAGGTCTCTCTTATTGGAAGGACAACACCTTTTCCCAACAGCAATTTTAAGATCTCTCCACAGGTGTTCAATGGGATTTAGATCTGGGCTCATTGCTGGCCACTTCAGAACTCTCCAGCGCTTCTTTGCCATCCATTTCTGAGTGCTTTTTGACGTATGTTTGGGGTCATTGTCCTGCTGGAAGACCCAGGATCTTGGACGCAAACCCAGCTTTCTGACACTGGGCCCTACAGTGCGACCCAAAATCCTTTGGTAATCCTCAGATTTCATGATGCCTTGCACACAGTCAAGGCACCCAGTGCCAGAGGCAGCAAAACAACCCAAAACATCATTGAACCTCCACCATATTTTACCGTAGGTACTGTGTTTTGTTCTTTTGTAGGCCTCATTCCGTTTTCGGTAAACAGTAGAATGATGTGCTTTACCGAAAAGCTCTATCTTGGTCTCATCTGTCCACAAGACGTTTTCCCAGAAGGCTTTTGGCTTACTCAAGTACATTTTGGCAAACTGTAGTCTTGCTTTTTTATGTCTCTGTGTCAGCAGTGGGGTCCTCCTGGGTCTCCTGCCATAGCGTTTCATTTCATTTAAATGTCGACGGATAGTTCGCGCTGACACTGATGCTCCCTGAGCCTGCAGGACAGCTTGAATGTCTTTGGAACATGTTTGGGGCTGCTTATTCCCCATCCGGACTATTCTGCGTTGCAATCTTTCATCAATTTTCCTCATCCGTCCCACGACCAGGGAGATTAGCTACAGTGCCATGGGTTGCAAACTTCTTGATAATGTTGCGCACTGTGGACAAAGGCAAATCTAGTTCTCTGGAGATGGACTTGTAACCTTGAGATTGTTGATATTTTGCCACAATTTTGGTTCTCAGGTCCTCAGACAGTTCTCGTCTCCTCTTTCTGTTGTCCATGCTTAGTGTGGCACAGACAGACACACAATGCAAAGGTTAAGTGAACGTCTCTCCTTTTTATCTGCTTTCAGGTGTGATTTCTATATTGCCCACACCTGTTACTTGCCCCAGGTGAGTTTACAGGAGCATCACATGCTTGTAACATTCTTTATTTATCGCAGTTGTGAAAGGGTGCCAATACTTTTGTCCAGCCCATTTTTGGAGGTTTGTGTGACATTATGTCGAATTTGCTTTCTTTCCTCCCTTTTTTTGTTTTGTCCCAATACACACAAAGGGAATAAACATGTGTATAGCAAAACATGTGTTAATGCAATACGTTTCGTGAGAAATACATGATTTTCCTGGAGAAATATCAAGGGTGCCAACAATTTCGGCCATGACTGTATATATATATATATATACACATACACACACATACACGCGTGATTTGCATTTCCGGGAAGGGGGCACCCTTAATCGTTTTATAGTCCCAGATGTTAACCCCTTCTTGCCCAGTGTCATTAGTACAGTGTCAGTGCTTTTTTTTTTAGCACTGATTACTGTATTAGTGTCATTGGGATGTCAGTGGCAGTTCATCAGTTCCTACCCAGTGTCAGAATGCCCGCCACAGTCCCTATATAAGTCGTTGATCGCTGCTATTACTAGTTTAAAAAATTTTAAATAAAAAGTCCAGCATATATACCGCCATTTGTAGACCTTATAACTTTTACGTAAACTAATTAATTTACATGTATTTGGGATTTTTTTTAGCAAAGACATGTAGCAGAATAATTTTGGCCTAAATTTATGAAGAAATTAGATTTTTTAAAGTTTTTTTTACTGGATATGTTTTATAGCAAAAAGTAAAAAATATAGGTTTTTTTTTTTTTCAAAATTGCCTATGCTTTTTGTTTGTAGCGCAAAAATACCACCAAATACCACCAAAAGAAAGCTCTATTTGTGGGGAAAAAAAGGACATAAATTTAATTTATGTATAGCATTGCATGACTGCACAATTGTTAGTTAAAATAATGCAGTGCCATATCGCAAAAAATGGCCTGCTCAGGAAGGGGGGTAAATCCTCTGAAGGGCACTCTGGAGGGCAAGTGGTTAAAGTGTTACTAAACCCAGGATCCTGCATTCACTATATCTGGTCTCCCACAGTACACGGAAATGCAATTATTTTAGTAAATATAAACTACTAAATATCTTTTCTCATCAGCAGTTTGAGCTGTCTTGTGACTTCTATCAGTGTTTTCATTCTCCCCTGATTATCTTATGAGGCTGCAGGACCCCAGACCCTCTGTCTGGACAGTTCTGATTGGTCCTGTGCTTATCACATACACCCCCCCCCCCCAAAAAAAAAGCTCTAGCAATACACACCAAACTAAATGTGCAGCTTGCCCCAAGGTTCTGTTCTATCAGCAGATGGATTGGGGACTGTGGAAGAAGGGGAGGATTAGAGAAGCCAGGATTAAAAACCTTTTTAAACAATGCAGAGAATTAAAACCTTAGGTTGCACAGTGGGTATAACAAGCATGGTTTACTGCATATACAGACTGACTTTACTATTGTGGGTTTAGTAACACTTTAAAATATGCCTCTAAATGACCTAATGTGCATGGACACATAGGATAACATTAATTGCTTCTACAGGCAAAACACTAAACTTCTCTAGAAGCAGCATTTTTTTTAAGCCAGTGTGCAACACTTATCGTTTTTGTAATTTTCTTGCGTACAAATTATTTTAGGCCTGAAGTTTAGTTAAAACCCTCAAAACATTATATATTTTCTGAAAGCCAACAACCTGGAGAATTAAACATTGGTAGCTCAGTTTTTTATGTCACATGATTTTGAGCAATGGATTATCAACCACAATATACACTAAAGCCCCCCACTGTACAGGGGCTTTAGTGTATATTTAAACTGCTTAAATTGTTAGGAAATTTTGGGAAGAAGACTCACAACAATCCTTCACTGGTGACCTGTGTCAGAAAATACGGCAATTCTCTCTTCAAGTGGTAGTGAAGGTCTTTTTATGATTTATCCCTTCAGGTAAGTCCAAAATGAGGCTTACCCGTAGTTACAGTAACTATCTCCTAAAAGACTGGAGTAGCAAACATTGGAATCCTGGAAGTGATTGCAGGGCTAGGAGATATTTACTTTAGCAGCACCGGTGACGTCACTGGCGCATGTGCACTGCGCTCTCCCTGGACGGCGTGCTGTCCTTTGAGAGAGCCATGCCAGGGCTGTGACTCTCTAGCGCACATGTGGTAGTGACATCATTGTGGCCCGACTAGTCAAATGCCCGCAACTTGTGAACCGGAAGGAAGACTGGGTGAAGATGGAAGTCCCGGAGAGCTGTGACAGTGCTCCACTGGAGGGCTTCATTTTCAGGCAAGTCTTTTATAATGTGCCAGTATGCGATGCATACCAGTACATTATGCTCTTAACTCCAGCCTGATCCAATGCCTGCTACTCTAGCCCAGCCTGCCTCCGATGGTCCTGAGCCTGCTGCCCAGAGTTCCTCAAATAGTCCTGAGCCTGCTGCCCAGAGTTCCTCAAATAGTCCTGAGCCTGCTGCCCAGAGTTCCTCAAATAGTCCTGAGCCTGCTGCCCAGAGTTCCTCAAATAGTCCTGAGCCTGCTGATCTGGTGCCTGCTACCCAGCCAGGCTCTGATACTCGGGTTAAGTTCTCACCAGCTGTTGGGTTTGATACCTGTGAGGCTCCACATTTTGTGCATATCTGGCATGAGTTATCCCTCACTGAACAAAGGAGAAATACACATTTTCCCTTAAGTTTAAGTAGATATACTCATGTTTACACAGATCCCCTTAAATCTGTTACTCTTTACATGGAACATTTTATGTGATCAAGATTTGAGGAAGATTACAACACAAAAACAAAACAAAAATGTGCTGTGAAAGTACATTTAACATGCATACCTTTGTCTGGGATGAGTAATTTACAAGGCAATGCCAGAGGTGTAATGGAATGTTGGTAAATCAAAGCTGTCAAACTCCCTAAGTCAAGAAAAAAAACATAGATAAAGATTTAAAAACAAAGCAAAACTGCTCTGGTTACCATTCAGACAGCAACATGGGTTTTCCTCAAACTGTATATCCACACAATTTCCATCTAATAAAAACAAAAATTGACATTCTTATTTCATTCATATCATTAAGAATCCTATTTATAACATTAAAACCAAAGTTTTATGGGATAAACTTTAGACTGAGAGTTAATTGAACACCAACACAAACAGACTCGATTAATTATTAAAAGGAATATGTTGAAGATGCTGTGAATAATAGCAGCCAGTCATATTTCACATTTTATTTGTTTACAAAGTCAAAACAATGAGACTACAAATTTGTTGCTTGGTGTTACCTCTGTTTTCACATTGCCTTCTCCCTGTAAATGAGATATTTGCCAGCAATTGATAGGAGAAATTTTGTTTCGCTGCTATATTCACCTAAACTTATGATCCAAAGAGCCTTCTGCATGATTTCTCAGATTCCTCTGTCTATCCCCTAGATTGTAAGCTCGAAAGAGTAGGGCCCTCTAACCCCTCGTGTACTGTTGTTGTTGCTGTTCTGTTTCTTGTATTGTCCCCCCCCTCTATTGTACAGCGCTGAGTAAACCCTTTGGCGCTATATAAACTCGATATAATAATAATAATAATAATCTGCCTATACAATTCTAAAGCAATGTTAGGTTGGTTGTACAGAGCAGAAAGAACAAAGGTTTCTGTACTCACTGTAAAATCCTTTTATTGTAGTCAAACTAAGAGACATGGGAAATCAAATACTGTTGGGTTATACTTCTGGCTATAGGAGGATTGAACACTGGCAAATAAAAAAAAGTGTAAGCAGACTTAGGATAACCCTTTCTCTACCCAACATGCCTCAGTTTGTAGCAAGCAGTACCAAAAGCATGAACATAAAACACAGAGGGGTCAGACCTGTGTTCTTCAAAGGACAACATAAAAAGCATTTTATGGGGAGTACAAAAATCCTATTTTCTTCCTTGGCCACTAAGGGACAAATAAATTCAGATACTGTAAGTACATACAAAAAGCAGTCCAACTAAGAGTTGGACATCTCAGTAACAACTGCTATCAGGCCCAACAAAACAGAAAGAGGGCTGCCTGTACCCAAGAGCTGCCTGAAGGACCAACTCCTGAATTGGCTACCAGATGAGGCTGAGCCTCTCTACCTGAAAGGGGAACCTGTCAGCAGACCAAAGGGAGGACAAGAAGAAATCAACCTGATACTCGGGACCAAGATAGAGTGTCAACACTAGAGGGAATGGCTCCGTGCAGAAGAGAGTCCTGGACCAAGTAATAAACCTGAACCCACCAAAAACAAGTAGAACAACAAATCACATGTAGGGAATAAAAGACACACCAACCTGAGGAAATCAGCCATGTGTTAAGTCCCTAGGAGGAACAGGTCCCTCAGAAGAACCTGAGAAAAACTAGGTATTTTCTAGGAAGGCCAAATTGTCTAAATAGGAAGGCCCAGAGCCTTAACATTCCTGACCCCCCAGGATCAAGGGACAAGAACACAGTGTTTATAGAAATTATCTGGCCAAACAACTAACCTCGCTAAACAAGACTTATCTATGGAAAACCTTGTATACAGCTATAACACAACAGCTTACAAGAGCTGGGAAATTACTCTGAGTCTGCCAGAGAACCTTGGACTCATTCCTGTGAAGTCTTAACTTAAGTGATAAGGTGCATGGAAGAACCCCCATAAGGGTAGGAAAGAGATGAAATTTAGCTAACACCAGAATGGTGATTTGGGAATGAGCTGAGGATGATGCTAATACAGGCTTACTAGTATGCAACCCCCTTCCTAAAGGGTCTGTGAATCAGTCTTGGAAAGAGGACTTTACTCCAGATGAACAGGACCCCAAAGTGATTAAGGCATTTGCCCTTCTTTTTAGAGGAAACCTCCAACAGGAGACTACAGTGACAGAGGAGGGAAACACAGAAGTCAATATTGAGAAGATCCATGTGTGCCTGGGTGACCATGAGGAATCAGATCCCCATCTGGGTAAGGAAGAGTCAAAACATGCCCCAGTTGAGGGCCTTCAAATATAAGGTAGAGTGTATTACCTCAATAAGTAATGACCTCTTGCAGTTGTGAGGTGACACAGGGGGACACTGTGGTGCCTCCAAAACAGTTTAATCAAAGACAGACTGTGAAGGAGGAGTTTGAATTAAAAATGGTCACCACGACTGGTGGCCCAGCTCTTGTTTCTAATGCCTCGGGAAGGCCTACAGCCTTTTGTTTGATAGTATCCAATCCTCCTGCAGGCAGCAGTATACCATAACAGTATCTGAATTGCTGGGTCCCACAAAAGTTGGAAAAGAAACTAATTAGTTATCTTGCCTAAAATTTCTGCTTGTGCAAGCTCCACTAGTTTTGATTTTCTATATCTTAAGTTTTTTGCATTGTTGGAAACAAGTAGAAAAACTCCACTTTTTCATTTTGTTAGCCTCTGTATAAAGAAACTACTGACATTTTTATGCAAAATAATTCAGGAAGCTTTCCGGTAGAGATTCAGGCACACTCAACTCAGGCTATGGCTACTTGAGCATTTTTCAGGGTCTCAGCTGAGACTATTGGTACAAATCCCACTGTATGCTACCATGATGCACCAGGAAAATTTATATTCACCATTCTGAATGTTTTTATATTCCTGGTGTATCTAATGGCAGCATAATTTACCCTTTCCTAATTTTCTGCCAATGCTTGTTATGGTTCCAGAAATGGTATTTCTGGCTGAGGAAACTTTAGGTACAGTCATGGCCGAAATTGTTGGCACCCTTGATATTTCTCCAGGAAATCATGTATTTCTCACGAAACGTATTGCATTAACACATGTTTTGCTATACACATGTTTATTCCCTTTGTGTGTATTGGGACAAAACAAAAAAAGGGAGGAAAGAAAGCAAATTCGACATAATGTCACACAAACCTCCAAAAATGGGCTGGACAAAAGTATTGGCACCCTTTCACAACTGCGGATAAATAAGAATGTTACAAGCATGTGATGCTCCTGTAAACTCACCTGGGGCAAGTAACAGGTGTGGGCAATATAGAAATCACACCTGAAAGCAGATAAAAAGGAGAGACGTTCACTTAACCTTTGCATTGTGTGTCTGTCTGTGCCACACTAAGCATGGACAACAGAAAGAGGAGACGAGAACTGTCTGAGGACCTGAGAACCAAAATTGTGGCAAAATATCAACAATCTCAAGGTTACAAGTCCATCTCCAGAGAACTAGATTTGCCTTTGTCCACAGTGCGCAACATTATCAAGAAGTTTGCAACCCATGGCACTGTAGCTAATCTCCCTGGTCGTGGACGGATGAGGAAAATTGATGAAAGATTGCAACGCAGAATAGTCCGGATGGTGGATAAGCAGCCCCAAACATGTTCCAAGACATTCAAGCTGTCCTGCAGGCTCAGGGAGCATCAGTGTCAGCGCGAACTATCCGTCGACATTTAAATGAAATGAAACGCTATGGCAGGAGACCCAGGAGGACCCCACTGCTGACACAGAGACATAAAAAAGCAAGACTACAGTTTGCCAAAATGTACTTGAGTAAGCCAAAAGCCTTCTGGGAAAACGTCTTGTGGACAGATGAGACCAAGATAGAGCTTTTCGGTAAAGCACATCATTCTACTGTTTACCGAAAACGGAATGAGGCCTACAAAGAACAAAACACAGTACCTACGGTAAAATATGGTGGAGGTTCAATGATGTTTTGGGGTTGTTTTGCTGCCTCTGGCACTGGGTGCCTTGACTGTGTGCAAGGCATCATGAAATCTGAGGATTACCAAAGGATTTTGGGTCGCACTGTAGGGCCCAGTGTCAGAAAGCTGGGTTTGCGTCCAAGATCCTGGGTCTTCCAGCAGGACAATGACCCCAAACATACGTCAAAAAGCACTCAGAAATGGATGGCAAAGAAGCGCTGGAGAGTTCTGAAGTGGCCAGCAATGAGCCCAGATCTAAATCCCATTGAACACCTGTGGAGAGATCTTAAAATTGCTGTTGGGAAAAGGTGTCCTTCCAATAAGAGAGACCTGGAGCTGTTTGCAAAGGAAGAGTGGTCCAAAATTCCGGGTGAGAGGTGTCAGAAGCTTATTGATGGTTATAGGAAGCGACTGATTTCAGTTATGTTTTCCAAAGGGTGTGCAACCAAATATTAAGTTAAGGGTGCCAATACTTTTGTCCAGCCCATTTTTGGGGTTTTGTGTGACATTATGTCATATTTGCTTTTCTGCCTCTGTTTTATATTTGTTCCAATACATACAAAGGGAATAAACATGTGTATAGCAAAACATGTGTTAATGCAATACCTTTTTTGTGTGAAATACTTGATTTTCAGGAAAAATATCAAGGGTGCCAACAATTTCGGCCATGACTGTAACTGGTCCTATGAGGTTAAAAGGCAGAGCTTCAACCCACAGTATGCTTCTCTTACGTACACCAGGAAAGGAAATTATGCAAAGATGAGTATACAATTTTCCAATTTATATGTAAACACCTGCACCAATTACCTTCTAAAGATGCTAATTAAATCTAAGATGGTAGAAGGTATTTTGGTCCTTTCCAATGAACCAGTGTTTCTCGAATCCAGTTCTGAATTACCCACAAAATGACATATTTTCAGAAATTTCATTGGCTAAAACAGCTGTGGCAATTGCTAAATTGGAGACACTGATAGAATTACTTTTGAAAGAAAAAAAAAAAAAGAGATCATTCCCATGCATATTTATGAGCGGTTTGATGGATTGCCAAGGCATTTGCGCCAATCTGTTGTTGATTAATTATTGTGCTTTGAAACATTATTATGTTGCATAACACAACTTAAATTTAAATAATGGACAAATATCCCAGCTTCTTCTGCAGACTTTTCTGACACAACCTGCAATTAAATTGGATTCCCAGTGATCGTAGGCTGAATAAAAGAAATCTATGCGTGTATGGCCAATTGTCCCGTGTTATCATACCCACTGGCTTCACATGAAAGAGTATTTGCATGGCTGTCTTATTACTGATATAACGCTATACTTGTTTTAAAGTACAGTGACATTATTTTGTATATGTCTTGTATGTGTCTTCAGGAGGGTCCACCAAAAAAAGAGTGGTATCCTTCTGTTTAAGAACAGTTTGTGTTTTGGACCTATTGGCTGCTTTTATCTCTGGATCCATCAGTCATAGTGACATGAAATGTTCACTGAATGTATCATTCTCAGCTTTTTTTTGTGCTATTTTTGAATTTCCAGTTTGTCACAGGTTAATTTAACCACTGTAAAACTTCACCGCAGCACCTAAACAAAATTTTATAGTTCTCTATATTTCGTTCTCAAGAATGGAGGTTAAAAAACCCTGAATCTCAAACTAAATATGGAAACTCTAAAACTTGTCCCCAGTTTTAAATGTTTTTGTTCAAGAGCTGGACCCTAGGAATCAGATACCAATGAAGCCTGGAGGGGAAGTCTAGTAGACCACTGCTGTTCCATTTCAAGTGTCTAGAGCAGTGGTCTCCAAACTGTAGCCCTTTGCTACCTTTTATCTGGCCCATGGGCCATTATTCTCCCTACTGTCAGCGGGGCATAGTTCCTGCCACTGACACCGACAATGAGGCACTATTTTTCTCCCACTGACACCAAGGATGGGGCACTATTCCTCCAAGTGATACAAAGGATATGGCGCTATTCCTTCCACTAACACCAAGAATGAGGCACTATTCCTCCCACTGATACAAAGGATGGGGGACTATTCCTCCCACTGACACCAAGGATGGTGAACTATTCATCCCACTAGTACCAACGAAAAGGCACTATTCCTCACATTAACACCAACGATGGGAACATGTTTACTCCCACTGACACAAAACTTTTTCTACGTCTGCTGGCCACAGTCCAGTCCTCCTAAAGTTTGAAGGCCAGTAAACTGGCCCATTGTTTACAAAGTTTGGAGACCCCTGGTTTAGAGGAATTTGAAATTTTAATGTTTGGCTGTGAAACTGCTAAACACCTGCAAGAGCATTATGTCATTATTCTCAAAGTGGATTTAATCAAACACTTTAAACAAAGTGGATTTAAAATCAAAGATATTATACAAAACTGTATATATATATATATATATATATATATATATATATATATATATATATTTCACAATGTACTACAGTGAAAACAGTTAACTATTGATATCAGTTATATACTGTACATCAACTGATTGAAAATTTTAGGCTTTTCCTTGAGACGAATTGTCTATACAAAGCTTCATTATTCTAAAAAAATAACACTACATCTGTGAGAAGTAATATTTACCAAAATATGGTTCATTTGGACATCCCTTCAGTCGAACTCCTTTCTGAACGCATTCAATAAGAAAGTGGCGTACCAACTCATTGGTCATATCGCCAACTAAAGAAAGAAAACACAAAAACATACAATTATAATTACCAAGCTAAGTTTCCAAGCAAATAGTTACATAGTCTGACTGAAAAAAGACAAAAGTTCATCCAGTTCAACCATTAAAAAAAAAAAAAAAAAGAAGTTATTATCCTACACCCACAGTTGATCCAGGGGAAGGCAAAAAAACCCAGCAAAGCATGATCTAATTTGCTCCTGCAGTGGAAAAAATTCCTTCCTGATCCCCCGAGAGGCAAATCGGATATTCCCTGGACCAATGTTACCTATAAATGTTAATAACCAGTTATATTCTGTGTATCCAAGAAAGAATCCAGGACTTTTTTTTAAAGCAATCCACTGAGCTTTCCAGAACCAACTCTTGAGGGAATCTATTCCACATTTTCACAGCTCTCACTGTGAAGAAACCTTTCCTTGTTTGGAGAATAAATTTCTGTTCCTCCAGATGTAAAAAGTGCTCCCTTGTCCTCTGTGATGACCTCAGGGTGAATAGCTCTACACCGAGTTCACTATATGAACCACTGATGTATTTATACATGTTGATCATATCCCCCCTTAATCTCCTCTTCTCAAGAGATAATAAATTCAGTTCCTCTAATCTTTCCTCATAGCTGATCTCCTCCATGCCTCTTATCAGTTTGGTTGCCCTTCTCTGTACTTTCTACAGTGACCCAATGTTCTTTTTGTGAATTGGTGCCCAAAACTGAACTGCATGTTCCAGATGAGATCTTACTAATGATCTGTACCGGGGTAATATGATATCTCTCTCTGGAGTCTACACCTCTTAATACAAGAGAGGATTTTGCTCGCTTCAGAAACAGCAGCTTGGCATTGCATGCCATTATTAAGCTTGTGATCTACCAGAACTCCCAAATCCTTCTTCACCATTGATTCCCCCAGTTGTACCCCCCCTAGTATGTATGATGCATGCATATTCTTAGCCCCCAAGTGCATAACCTTACATTTATCAATATTAAATCTCATTTGCCACATAGTTGCCCAATTAAAAAGTGCATTGAGGTCGGCTTGTAAGTTGAAGATATCCTGTAAGGACGTTATTCCACTGCACAGCTTGGTGTCATCTGCAAAGACTGAAATTTTTTTTTTAATACCAGACCCTATATCGTTTATAAATACATTAAAGAGTAAGGGTCCCAACACTGAACCTTGGGGTACACCACTGACAACCCTAGACCATTCAGAGTATGAATCATTAACCACTACTCTCTGAATACGATCTTTTAGCCAGTTTTCTATCCATTTACATACAGATTTTTCCAAGCCTGTAGACTTTACCTTACATACTAGCCGTGTGTGGGGAACTGTGTCAAACGCTTTAGCAAAATCCAAGTATACCACGTCTACCACCACCACCCCTCTGTCCAAGGTTTTGCTCACCTCCTCATAAAAAGAAATCAGATTTGTTTGACAACTTCTGTCTTTCATGAATCAATGCTGTCTATAATTACTTGGTAAAGATTTTGACCCTTTTTTTAAACCTAGGCACTACATTGGTCTTACGCCAATCCAGTGGTACTATGCCAGTCATTAAAGAGTCCCTAAAAATTAGAAACAATGGCTTTGAAATGACAGAGCTCAATTCTTTAAGGACCCGTGGGTGTATGCCATCCGATCCAGGTGCTTTATTCAGTCTAAATATTTTTGGATCATATCAATTGTGAGCCAATGTGGATCATCTGGAGCTGTGTCAATACCATGCCCATTATGGACAAGAGTTCCCCCATACTCCTTTGTATACACAGAGCTGAAGAAGGTATTTAATAGATTTGCCTTCTCTTTGTCCCCAGTCACCCACTCTAGATTATTTTGTAAAGGGCCTACATGCTCGGACCGGACCTTTTTACTATTAATATATTGGAAAAATTTTTTGGGGGTTGGTCCTACTATCTTTTGCAATCTGTCGTTCGTATATTCTTTGTAACACTTAAATGAAGATAGCGTTCCTTCATTTTTATATTTAATAAAAGCTCTTTTCTTATGATTTATAGCTTTTATACTTTTGGCCGTAAGCCACATAAGTTTGATTTTTAGCCTTTTAAACTTGTTGCCCATGGGAATATATTTTGCAGCGTGTTCACATACAGTCTTTTTGAAGAACTCCCATTTCTGTGTTGTGTTCATTGATGCCAATATTCCCTCCCAGTCTAAGTCTTGGAGAGCAGCTCTCAGCCTTGGAAAATTAGCTCTCTTAAAATTGAGTGTTTTTATTTTTCCCATATGTGCTTTTTGTTTACAGCCAGCAATAAATGAAATCATGTTATGGTCATTGCTACCCAGATGTTCTTTTATATGGACATTCATAATAAGCTCTGCATGGTTTGAGATTACCAGGTCCAGCAGAGCATCATTCCTAGTTGGGGCTTCTATGAACTGTACCATAAAATTGTCCTGAAGTAGGTTTAAAATTTTTTTGCCCTTTAACTGTTCCCGCAGTACCATTACTCCAGTCAATTTCTAGATAATTAAAATCCCCCAATATTATCACTGTCCCAGCCCTTGCAGTCCTTTCAATCTGTGCAAGGAGCTGAGTCTCCACCTCCTCATTAACACTGGGAGGCCTATAACAAACTTCAATGATTACCTTTGTAGTATGCACCCCCATGTGTAGTTCCACTCATAATACTTCAGCCTCATTGCACACTCCATCAACTAGGTCCTCTTTTACACTCGCTCTGAGATCACTTCTCACATAGAAACAAACACCACCACCTTTCCTATTTACCCTGTCTCTCTGAAAGAGAACATAGCCAGGAATATTAATGGCCCAGTCATGTGAAAAATGAAGCCAAGAATAGGATGGAAATAATAATAATGATCGATTGATGAATTTGGGTACAACCAGCCTGTCGGATTTTTACATGCGATTATTGCTAGCAGCTATTATAATCGCTATCAATAATCACTGTGTTCCCCGAAAAGATGGACCCCCCCCCCCCCCCCAAGGTTGCAGGAAAGAAAATCGCTCAGTCTATGGCCGGCTTTAGTGTCCTATTACTACGTTTTATACAATGGACAATGGGGATGTGACCAAACTTTATTTGTGTTTTTGGATGGGCAGTATAAATGATATTCAATTTACCTTGTTACCAAAGCTGGTCTACTATTTATGAGCATTTTCCATGAAATTACTGATTAAATCCAAAGCATTAAAATTCATCTGGGGCCAGAAAGGATGTAAACTCCTTACTGAATGCTATTTATGACAAAGCACCCTGGGGGACTGGACATACCCAACTTCCTTAACCTCCCTAGCGGTCTGATTATGTCCATATTTCTGTGCTCAAAGCGGTACATTTTTTTTGCATATGTATTTTTTTTCATTGTAGGCTGTAATTTTTAGGAATAACTCACTGAAATCTGTCCGAACAAGAGTCTAGTAAACATCCCGGGTAGGATAAAACTTGAAACACGAAATCATAAATTATAATTTAATAAATAATCGTAAAAAATATAATAATAATAAATTTAATTCAATAATATAATCAAACCAAAAACACTGAAATTTGAAATATAGCGCCAAGTTCGCACATCACTGAGCAAAGTCGCAAAATCGTTTTCAGTGTCTGATGACAAATTTCCCCACAGATCATTATCACTCAATTCTGCAAGTGGTTCTGATTTACTATCGCTGTTCTCTAGCCGGTCTAAAACTGCTTTTGACCTAAAGGGACGCTTTTTGGACGCCATGGACGTTTCTCAGTTTCCAGGCAGAAAGAACAGTAAAAATGCAGGCAGGGCGCAGGACAAAGCACTCGGGACAAAATGTATGTGAAATGGTTTGATACAGGAATGTTATACTATGTGATTTTAGTGAATGTCACTTTTTGTTATTTTCAAATTTCCCGCCGTTCCCTCCCCTGTACGCCCCGACGCTCGCAGGGGACGGAACCCAAATGACAGATGCCGGCATCCGCCGGATTACATTACAGGGGACACTGCAGGAGGGATATCGCGGGAGCGCAGGACAAGGTAAGTGATTGCGGGATCGTGGAGCAGAGCTGCATGGTAAGCCCGAGTGTAGCTCGAGGTTACCGCTTGTGGTACTGAAACTTTACCCCGAGCTACACTCGGGAATACCGCCAGGGAGGTTACAGTGTATATTCAGGGCAAGAGAAAAAAAAAGAAAAGAAAAAAAAACAACATACTTATTTAATTCTGATGCTTTATTGTAAACAGTACAGATGGGGCTCTATTTACAAAACATTTGTTGCATGAATGTCAGAAACATTGCTGCAAGTTGACTAAAATGTCCAGTATTTTCCCTAGAAGATTAATGCTTATGTCTTCGGCTCCATCTCGTGGCCAAAATGCAATATAGTTTTTCGAATACCTCAGTGAGCAATTATACTGCATTTTGGCCAATGGGTATAGAGCACAATATAGAAATAATATGGAACATGTCGTTCAACTTGCATGTGAATGCTTCTGAACTTCATGCAGTGAATTGTTTATAAACAGACCCCTTAATGCTTTTTTAGAAATAAACAAAAACAATAAAACGCATAAAGCAGATAATAAATTGTATATAAAATAAACAGCCAAACCTCTACTTACCATTTTTTCTTTTGTTTTTTTTAACAGAAAGAAAAGTCTATAGTTCTGATTGTGATTTTGATTGCAATATTTCTGTTTAAATAGCTCCTAATATAGGATTTGCACTTTATTTAAGCCATAATAAAGACATAAAATGACAGGGACAAACAATTTTTCATTGCCTTATCTTTGTTTTAAAATGTATTAAAGAATCAAAGATGTGACTCTATACCAGCAATGGGCAAACTACGGCCCGGCGGACCTTTTAATCCGGCCCGCGGAGCGTGATACATTGGCTGTCAGGATGTGTGTAGGCGGGGCAGCGTGACAAACGTGAGGGGAGCTAGGCTCCTCTCACAGTCCGCCCTGAAGACCGGAACGGCGCGGGAACACGGCGAGAGGAACGCGCGGAGCAGAGGTAAGTAAATTGACACAGGGGG